CGACTTGCTCGAACGTGCCTGGAGACATTCTAGTTCTCGAGATTGGATAGTCACAGATCGCGGCGCCGGCGCGGCAAGCCTTCCACCGCTGCCAGCATGCCCTCTCCGGGCTGGCATGGGACGAATTGAAGGGCTCTTCCAAGCCACCAGGCTCGGCTCTGCCTCAGCAGTCGGTGATTGCGGTGTGAAAGGGCAAAATAAAACAAACATCGCACAAGAAGCCAGGCTGCCGCCGAGTCACCATGCGGCCCGGGTCGTCAAGACACTGCTGCAAAAAACAGCTACTCGACCCAGCCGCGCCTTTGCCCAGTGCTCGGCTGCGGATTTGCGCAGACGCCAGAGCCCTCGAGCCCGATTTCGGCCACGATTCCAGCGCCGGCGCTGAAAGCGCTGAAGGCTAGAGGGTGCGAAATGCCGTGGCGCGTTCGGTCCTTGTGGATCCCATTCTTATTTCAGGCCAAACTTTGCATATGGATTTCCCCCAGTAAAAAACGGTCTCCGTTTCGGCCACCCGTCTTGAAGGATACAGGTTTGGTTTGGTGCTCGTCATTTGCGCCTTTTCGTCCAAAGGCCAAGCAACTGTATGAACATGCAAAATCGGCGCCTGGAAGCCCTGCTGCTGCGCATAGATTTTTCAGGGAAAGATTCAGGTTCTCTCCAGGCAGGTTCCCCCTTTCGGGAGAGCCTGGGGAGATGTTTTGGGAGAAGGAAATGAGAGGGTAACAATTCGTTGTGTGCTTGCGGCTTGGGAGAGGTTTGGGAGATACATGTAAGAGATGGTCCTGTGTGGCTGAAATCCACCTGCAGGCAGGCCAAGCGAAGGTTGGGGAGAAGCTTGGCGTGTCAAATGAGTCACAGTTCTTGGCAGGTCGATCAACTCGAGTTGCTCCCACGGGTGATGTCGAAAAATATTGCTTCTCAGGCCAACTGCTGGATCGGCCTAAACAGGAGTGTCGGTCAACAGCCAGGATTCAGTTTGAAGCTGGTTTGGTAGCAGAAATTCACGCAGCTCAATTGGTGAGCTGATGATGGTATTGAGCTGGAGCTGACGTTCAGACGGCCTGGCCAACTTCCTCACCACGCATTGCCATCTCTCTATCAAGAGCTGGGCTTGCAGGATGCCCACTTTGGGGGTGAACGTGTGACAATGTAATTTAGGTGCACCATCTTCCATTGTCTGACAGCCTTCCTGGGGAACCAGATATTACATTTTGGGACCCCCCTTGGGGATCTTGCAGGCGCTTGCAGCCCAAGACACCGAACCAAAGTTTCCAGCCCTCGCTGCGTGCTTGGTTTCGCACGGCTTCCTGAAGGCAGGGGGGCTAAGCCTCATTCTGGGCTAAGTCACGCAATACGGTTCCTCGAAGCTTGCGCAAGTCGCTCGGCCTAAGGATTCAGCCATGCAAATGGAAACCTGGTGGCTCGCACAGGGGCTAATGGAAAATCCAGTCTGGCTGGCATCGGGGTTGCGGGGTAGCATTATTCAGCTTCATCCTTGGAGTACTGCTGCTTCAGAAGTCATGAAAGCAGCGTAACTTCAATTCTGCGATGCTCGTAGAGGTTTGGCAACTCGACATCGTTCTTGGGTTTTGGGCATCTTCATGTCGAAGGCATGTTCGAGAACGGCGGTGACATCACAGATTTCATCAAGCATTCGCCCCACCAGAAGCAGACTGGAGAGCGTCAGGGCACTCAGGAGCCGTCAAGGTCTGGGGATCTTTGACCCTCAGCGTGCATGAGCTCGAAGGAGGCGCGACATCCTTGGGGCAGTCTTCAGTATGGACCTCTACCAGTGGGCCCTACTTGAATCAACTATTGCGTCAATATCAGCCATGATTGTGTGGCAAACCGTGGGTAGCACCTGTCTACCGGCAACAGTTGATTTCGATTGAGTTGGGCACAACAACATGGCAATATATGGCAATATTGTTTCAACATCAAAACAAGCGGGCTAAGACTCGGTAGCGGCGCCGTAGTTCTTGTAGCCCATCGTTGCTTTGGGGAACCGACTTGCGCACACGTATTCGGAAAGCTATGCGTGGGCTTGTAGCTTTTATTCTGTTTCCCCAGCGGCTGGGCAACAAACTTCCATGAGGCATACAGGCGCAAAGCAACGAAACGCAACTTGCAGGTAGGCATTGATGTGATGGAGGCACTCCAGCCCCACTGTCTGGTCCTGAACCCAATGGCTGAGGGCCTACCTTCAAACAAGGAACTAGAGGACGATTGGCCCGAAAACCGCGGAGACACCTTTTTACATCGATGCGGCGAGCGTGTCTGCACGCGACGATGCTCAATGTGTATGGTCACATGAGAGCTCCATCTCATCGTCCTACGAGAGGAAGCAGTGTCTGCGCAAGCTGCATTGTTCCAGGCTGCTGCGCGCAAGTTGCTCTCTGCAAGCTGCTGCACGCAAGTGGCCCGACATCTGTCTTCAAGCTGTTCTGCGCACGTTGCTCTGTGCAAGTTTCTCTCCGCAAAACGTTCGGCGCTTGTGTCTGCGCGCAAGATGCTCAGCCTGAGCTGAGCTGTGGAGGTGCTCCGCGCACCATACGTCTGCGCGCTTCAGGGTTGCGATTTCGCCAAGAGTACACTCCACATACTACGGCTTCTTCTCTTGAGCTGGGGGGGGAATCAAACCCGCGACCGCGGGATTGCAAAAGCAGGCGTGCAAACCACGAGACAACTTCCAAAGGCCATTTTGCAAGTAATAAAATCACACGGCGCCACAGCGAGAGAGCTTTGACACACGTTCTCCGCAGAGGGTTCGCCGAGACTAAAACGAATTCGCACGGCGCCACAGCGAGAGCGCGTCGACACGCAAAAACGCAAAAAACAACCTCGAGTTTTTGTACCTCGACCACGCCGATCCCCGCAGAGGGTCGCGCGGGCACCGCAAGAATCGCAAAAACCCTCCAAAAAAACAAAAACTTCGACCACGCCGATCCTCGCAGAGGGTTCATCCGCGCACCGCAAAAACGCAAAAAAACCTCGAGTTCCTGCACCTCGACCACGCCGATCCCCGCAGACGGGTTGCGCGCGCACCGCAAGAATCGCAAAAAACCTCGAGTTTTTGTACCTCGACCACGCCGATCCCCGCAGAGAGTTCGTCCGCGCGCCGCAAAAACGCAAAAAAACCTCGAGCTTTTGCACCTCGACCGCGCCGATCCCCGCAGAGGGGTTGCGCGGGAGAAACCTCGAGTTTTTGTACCTCGACCACGCCGATCCCCACAGAGGGTTCATCCGCGCGCCGCAAAAACGCAAAACACCTCGAGTTTTTGCGCCTCGACCACGCCGATCCCCGGGAGGGTCGCGCGGGCGCCGCAAGAATCGGAAAAAACCTCGAGTTTTGGCACCTCGACCACGCCGATCCCCGCAGAGGGTCAATCCCGATCGACGATCAAAGTCCTGCCCCGGCGCCCTATAGAAAGCTAAACGGAACTTACATAGCTGCGAACGCCGAAGCGCCATGCGCTTGGCTCTATGCCCTTGGCTCTATGCACTTATGCCTGGGCAACAAACTTCCATGAGGCATACAGGCGCAAAGCAACTCAAACCTCACTGGGAGAGCTGAAATGCAACTTGCAGTTAGGCATTGATGTGTTGGAGGCACTCCAGCCCCACTGTCTGGTCCTGAAGCCAATGGCTCAAGGCCTACCTTCAAACAAGGAACTAGAGGACGATTGGCCCGAAAGCATTTTTCCCCAAGCGCTCCAACCGCGGAGACACCTTTTTACATCGATGCGGCGAGCGTGTCTGCACGCGGCGATGCTCAATGTGTATGGTCACATGAGAGCTCCATCTCATCGTCCTACGAGAGCCGACATCTGTTTTCAAGCTGTTCTGCGCACGTTGCTCTGTGCAAGTTTCTCTCCGCAAGACGCTTGGCGCTTGTGTCTGTGCGCAAGATGCTCAGCCTGAGCTGAGCTGTGGAGGTGCTCCGCGCACCACCCTAAGTCTGCAGATATAGTAAATTTAGTATGGCAGCGATTTACTCTAAATTTTACTATTTACTAATCTCATTTTACTAGGCCAAGTAAAGTAAATTTACTAGTAAATAAATTTAGTAGTAAATGTAAATTGATGTACTAGTAAAAAAAGCAGTATTTTTCAGTATTTTTTCTGGTATGTTTTGTGAGCTGCCTCGAACGCATCTTTCCTGAGTCCAAACATTTTTCTTAGCACTGAGAAGTGGGAACATGTTTCTGAACAATGTGTATTACTTGAGACATGGTCTTGCCTCGCTCGAGCTCCCCATGAATCGTTTGATTTGCGTGCGCATGTCGCAGTTGATTTACTTGAGAACATGATCCTGTGATTGCAGCTTTCTTGGCTAACACACAGCTTGTGGTATCATGAGCGGCTGGATATTTGCGGCCTGGGCGGTTGGGATAGACACCGATAGCCTAGAAGGCCAGGAGCCGCCGCCCATGGAGTACTGGGAGGACGTTGATCCTGGGCCAGTGTCAGCGCTTTTGCGGGATATTACGTTTGCACTGCGAGTTGAGTCGATTTATCATTTTCACGTGATCGCGATGGAGTTCAGAAGCAATTCTGTCGTGGCAGTTTTGGTATTCGATGTGAATATGGAAGAGAAGCAGGTCTTTGCGTTTTTTCGATGCAACGGGCGATGAGGCTGTGCAATGAGTGAAAAAAAGAAACAAAGGCGCGGGGGTCATGTTTGCTTACTTGTGTGACAAGAAACGCTGATTGTTTTGCCGGTCGTGTTATTGCTCGCCGGTCTGCATGGGCAATGGTGATGGGCCCAGTGTCTCAGCTTACTTATGGGCCCAGTGTCTCAGCTTACTTGTGAACGAGTCTTCAGCCTTTTTGGCCTTTGTGGACGCACAAGTTACTTGGAAGTTGGAAGGATGTCGGACCTCCATTCATGCACTTGCTTTAGATTTACTTCGGCGGGTGAGGGAGGCTGCTAGACGTTGCTCGTTGCCCCGGAGTGCATTTTGCCTGAGCTACGCCGTTACATAGGCTGTGTTGCTGCAATGGCTGCCCTGAGCCTCATCCTTGAAGAGCGAAAGCGGCAAAGTGGCCAGGCCCAAAGGGAATCGTTTTCCTCAAAGGTTCGCTTGGTGGCAGACCCTACGACTTCCGTGGCTGACTTGGCCAAAGTTTTCCGGCAGTACTTGGAGCACCACAAAAGCGAGGATCTCTGGGCACTCATATGCCCGCCGCCCTCTGGGCCACATTCGTACTCGTGGCAGACGTCTCCCCAGCCTCAGTGGCTGGCCAAAACGGCTGGCCTCTTGTACGACCTCTTGGCACTTGCCCCGAATTCGAAGCTTGCCTCGAAGAAAGTGCTGTCGAGCTTGGACCTCTTGTGCAAGAACAAGGTTCTGTGGTTGCCACCTAACAGGCAACCCCAGGCGACCATGGACAGGCTTGACACAACAGTGAGAATCCTCTTGGCCATGTTGAGGTCCCTGAAGATGAGCGAGGAGTTGAGATCGAAGTGCTGGCGACTCTTGGGGAGGGAAGAGCAGGTCATGCTTGAAATCGCGCTCGACAAGCTCCAGCTGCCTCCTGGGTACTGCCCTGAGAGCCAGATCAAAGGCGGGGAGGAGGACAGTGGTCAGGAAATCCAGGCGGCGCCAATGCCAGGTGACCTCGTCATTTTCAGCCCATGAAAACTTCAAGCTCCTGGTCTTTGAAGACACCGCCTTCGATCTTTGCGAAGATCCTTGCCATGGACGTGGAGAAGCCCAGCAGCCATGACTTGTCGGAGAATGCGTTACTTGCGGACGCCGGCGCCTTTGTTCCCGAGGTGTCAAAGTCAGAGAAGAAGAAAAAGAAACTGAGTGAGAAGAAGAAAAGCAAGACACTGAAGGTGGTTAAGAAGGAGAAGACGGAGAGTAGTGCCAAAGACATGGCCAAGAAGAATGCCCGCAAGAAGGCTTCCCCAAAGAAGCCCAGCAAGGAACAGGGTTTGCTGACCTTGGCTGAGATTCCCGAGGACGTGTCCAGTTTCAAATTTGAGTGCCCAACCTATGGAAGTTGCAAGCTCGAGATGTACTCGGAGAAATCCTACATCCGCCAATGGAATCAGTCTGACAAGAAGTGGCGCTTGATCATTGGCAGCTGCGACAAGACCTACCACCGGCAGCTGTGCCGCCGGTTGGTGCCCGAGGTGCAGCGGGGCAAGAACGCCGCTGACTTGAAGATGATTCGGGAGAAGTTCTTGGACGACCTGAAAGATGTTGACTGATGCCTGCTTATGGACCGCTTTATACGGTGTTTGTGCCATTTGGGGTGGGGGGGTCGACGTGCCAGCACGTCTAGATATACATTTGGTATCGCCCCACAGTGGTGTCAAATGCGAACCTTGCGGGTCGAGAAAGTATCTTTTTTTTTTCGACTTCTGTCATGTACGGGCAGGCATGATGCTCACTCAGCACCTGCAGGGTTAGAGTTCTACTTTGGAACCGTTGACGCTTGTAAGTGCGGCGGCCTTGTCCTTGCGACTCTCGGCGTTTCTTGTGAACTTTGGCGCCCTTGGAGCAGCGCCCTACGTAAGGATTTTACTTGTGAGCTCATGTTGTTCTTGGGAGCACCAGTTCTGCACGACTGCTTTACTTGTGCATTTTTTTGTCGCGAGGTGGTGCTTCATCAACTTTCATTTCTAGAGATTTTACTTGCTCACAAGCATATCTGTCCCCAGGCACCCCTCTCGCAGGCATGTCGCAGGAGAATGAGCCGCTGCCGCCAGAGCTGCAAGAGCTGGTGGGCATCTTCCCGGAGGAGGAGCTGCGGGCTCGGATGCGCAAGGCCGATGCGGCTGCGAAGGCAGCCAGGGCAGCCATGGAGAGCACCGCGGCTGGCGCGGCTGGTGCGGCTGATGATGAGGCCGAGCTGCCGACGGTGCGTGATGGGCGCCTCTATGTCAGGGTGAGGGGCCGAGTGGTTTGCTTCGAGAGCCCTCACCCAACCCCTGCGATGTGGAAGGAGGCGGGGGAGCAGGTGGATGCCATGAATGCTGCCGGCTTGCCGCTTGCCGCGTCGCTGAAGAAGTCGAAGGCGGCTGCCGACGCCACTGTGCAGAGCGGCGGTGCCAGCGGCAGTGGTTCGAGCCGCTAGAGCACAAACAGCCGGATTTGGTTTTTGATGGAAAACCTCGCGGCAGCCTGCCTTGGAGCCGTTACTTGTGAAGCCCACTTTTGCAAGAAAGATATTGTGTAACGCGGGGGCTTTTGTGAAGTGGATACTTGTGATGTTTGCGATGGATGTGGAGCTTTTACTTGTGAAGCAGCCGCCCATTTTTTACTTGTGAAGTAACCGCCTCGCTTTTACTTGTGAAGCAACCGCCTCGCTTTTCTCGCTTTTACTTGTGAAGCAACCGCCTCGCTTTTACTTGTGAAGCAGCCGCCTCGCTTTTCCGCCTCGCTTTTACTTGTGAAGCAGCCACCCATTTTTTACTTGTGAAGCAGCCGCCTCGAATTTACTTGTGAAGCCAGCCGCCTCTGTTTTACTTGTGAAGCAGCCGCCTCGCTTGCCAACCCCTTCGGTCGTGACATCGGTGTTGCTTGCACAATGTTTGCCTGACGTTTTACTTGCGAGGGGTCTGGTGACTTGGCCATGACCACTATAGGGCCCCACACAGAAAACGAAAGTTACTTGTAAATGGACGTTTTACTTGTGTGGATTGCGCGCTTTACTTGTGTGGATTGTGCGAAGATTCCCACACCCGCGCCGGCCTTGTTTGCACAAAATGCATCTAGAGAGGGCGTGCAGCTAAGCCACAGACACAAGTAAACTATAGCGTAAACCTATCAATCCCAGGCACAAGTAAACCATTGTCCAGGCATCCAACTCAATTTCAACCAATCACAGGCAACCCAATCTCAAGTAAACCAAACTCACGAACTCCAAGCCCAATGCAACCAAGAAGAAGCATACAAGGAATCTCACCAATTGCCTGAAATCTAATCCCAGACTGTGAGGATCCGCAAGTAAAGGAAGAGCAAGCAAACCAACCAGAAGAAATCTGATCTCAGGTAAACACGTGGCAGCTGCATCAACCTCAAGTACACCACAACCTCAACAAACCAGTTCCACCTCAACAAACCAGTTCCACCCATGACAAGCAATCCACAATCTGCCAACTGACCAACCCATCAGTACAGCACAACCCAATCTGCCGAGCAGGTCACGCGTCGCCATGGCTTCCGATGACCGCTTCAGGGTCTACGTCCGGAACGTGCGGAACTCGCTGGGGAAGTGGACCATCCGGGCGGCGCTGGAGAGCATGGGCTGCTACAACCTGGTGAGCATCCAGACGTGCAGGAGGCGCTGGAGCGACAGCCGCAACGAGGGGGAGCACATGAGCATGTTTCTCATCTTCGGGGATGCGCCTTGGCAGAAGTGTTTGTCGCTGATGGGGTTCGCGTTTGCTGATTGGTGTTCACCAGGCATGCGTTTTGAAGCACATTGAAACATCGATGCCTTTTTGAAAGCAAGAACTCGTCAGGTGCTTTGAACCACGTTTGCACATGTCATGCGCCCCCGTATCTCCCGTAATTCGAGGTGTTTTTACTTGCGATTACTTGTGACTTACGTGGTGATAGACTTTTCCTTGAGAAACTTGACGGACTCGGCGTTGAAAATCATTTGAAATCCTTTGCAGGAGCAGAGCATGAACGACGGCATCTCCTGCATTTGGGCGAATCCGCATCAGGAGCAACTTAGCAGCAGTGGCCGGCCGTTGGAGCCGTCGATAGCGCTGCCGCCCCCGGCTGGTGGACGCGCCTTTACCTGTGCCGCTGGCTCCCTCTGCCTTACCTGTGCCCTTGCCACCGCCACCACCGCCGACTCACGGTGTCACTGGTGCTATGCCCAAGTGGACACCGCCCAAGGTGTCGTGCCAGCAACAAGTGTGTTCTTATCATTGTTCAACCCAAACAACAGTTGCCACTGCTGGGACAGGAAGGCTATTTTCTGGGCAATTGCGATCTGCTTACTATGAGATAGTGCTTGTCTTTGATTTTCGTGACCAACACTTGAGTGTGACAGGTTCTCGCTTTACTTGTGCTACTTCAGCAGCATTACTTGCGGCAAGCCTGTCAACTGAGGCACCTCCTTGGGCTGGGCCGCTGCCTCCTCCTCCGCCCCCTCGGGGGCATTTGCTTGGCGCGGCTGATGGCGATGGCGAGGAGGACAACTTGGAGGACGAAGAGATTGGCCGCGCTCTTCAAGATGCTCTTAGCGGGCATGATGAGTGCTCCTACGACGAGTACTGCTACGCGAGCCCTGTGAGCCGCGTCAGCGATGAGCCGGACTCTGAGGAGGAGTCGGTGGTGGTGGATGAGGAGAAGGAGGTTGATGAGGAGAAGGAGGAGAAGGATCCGGAGAAGGATGAACAGGTGGTGGATGAGGAGACGAAGCAGGAGGTCGATCAGGAGAAGGAGAAGGTTGATGAGGAGAAGGAGGAGGGTGCGGGCAGCGGCGTGGTTGTCAAGGAGGAGTCGCCAGCCAGTGCTCCAGCCCGTTCGCATCGTTCGCGGTCACGCCGAAGACGGCGCCGACGCCGAGGAGCCGGAGCCGAAGAAGGCGGAGGCGACGAAGCTCATCCCGGGACAGTGGGGTCACGTTTCTTCTGGGCGAGCTCGGCAGACAGATGCTCCGCGCCAGACGCTGACAAAAAGAGCGAGAGATGAGAGCATGAGAAGAGTCCACTTGAGAGCCGGTTACTTGTGATGAGAGCACGCGAGATGAGAGCATGAGAAGAGTCCGATTACTTGTGATGAGAGCACGAGAGATGAGAGCATGCGAAGAGTCCGATTACTTGTGATGAGAGTACGAGAGATGAAAGCATGAGAAGTCCACTTGAGAGCCGATTACTTGTGATGAGAGCACGCAACAGTTGCGCCATTTCCTTGTGACTAGTCGAGGCCACTTACACTTTTTTTTGCACATTTCCAGCTCCTGACCACTGAGCCCCTCCTTGTCACTCGGGGAATTGTGCTAAAACGCGCCAGCATTTTTGGGCAGTTCCCTCATGCAGAATCGTAGTTCGTTGGGCAAACCACCTCAAATTAATGATGCGCGGGGCGCCCAATGGTGATGCAATGCTGGTACATTGTTGGTGCAATGTTGGTGCAATGTTGGTGCAATGTTGGTGCAGTTTTATAACTGCACCAAAACTGCACCAACATTGCACCAAAATGGTGCAGTTTTGGTGCAGTCATAAAACTGGGGTGCTTTGCTGTGGGGTGCTTTGGGGTGCTTTGCTGTGAGCTGTGCCATGGATGCACTTCTGCCAAGGTCACTTGCAACTGGTTTGCTTGAGTTTGCTTGCCTGAAATGCACTTACATGTGGTTGGTGCACATGGTTGCTTGAGATCGGCTTTGCGGTGGTTGACTTGCAGTTGCGCCTGTTTACGACGACTCGAGGTAGGCTTGCTTGAGCCTGAATCATTCGGGATTTGCTGGCTTGAGTCTGACTTACTTGTATTTAGTTGAAGTTTATTCTCTTATGATGCTTGTTTATGCCCCTTTACATCCTAGGTACTTCTACGGTATATAGATGGTGGAAATGTTACTTGTGACCTGTGCAAATGTTACTTGTGACCTGTGCAAATGCTACTTGTGACCTGTGCAAAACTTACTTGTGACCTGTGCAAATGTTACTTGTGACCTGTGCAAATGTTACTTGTGACCTGTGCAAATGTTACTTGTGACCTGTGCAAATGTTACTTGTGATCTGTGCACATGTTACCTGTGACCTGTGCAAATGTATTCCTTGTGACCTGTACTTGTGACCTGTGCAAAAGTTACTTGTGACCTGTGCAAATGTTACCTGTGACCTGTGCAAAGGTTACTTGTGACCTGTGCAAATGTTACTTGTGATCCGTGCAAATGCTACTTGTGACCTGTGCAAATGTATTACTTGTGACCTGTACTTGTGACCTGTGCAAATGTTACTTGTGATCTGTGCACATGTTACTTGTGACACATGTGCTTCAGGGTCATCGCCGAACATTATTTTGCATCGTTGCCTGTTGCTAGCTGCTGCCTGTAAGAGTGCCTTCGCGTTGCCACCTGAGCTATGCCGCCCACAGATGAGGACGCATCCAACACCGGTGAATGCGATGGCCAATCAAGTGAGCCTGCGGCGGTGGATGCAAATGCCAAGCCAAAGGCGAAGGCCGGTGCCACGGGAAAGTCCAAGGCCAAAGGAAAGGCCAAGGCGCAGCCAAAGCCTAAGCCCAAAGGAAAGGCTCAGGCGAAGGCGAAGGCCAAGGCCAAGCCAAAGGCTACAGGGATGAAGCGCCCCGCCGCCAAGCCGCTAGAGAAGGCCACTCCGTCCAAGAAGGAGAAGGGCGCGAAGGAGAAGGGCGCGAAGGAGAAGGGCGCTCAGCCCAAGAAGCAGGAGGTGAAGGAGGAGTGGAAGGATGGGCTGCCCAAGCCGGAGCACGATGGCTCTGCCGCTGAGGAGGAGGGTGGGGAGGAGGCTGGCGAGGAGGAGATAGTCAAAGAGGAAGACCCGACCATGGATCCCAACCTGAACTTGGAGGCTGGAGGCTGCGAAGAGAATGACGCCACCAAGAACAGGATCAAGGCCCGAAAGTTCAACGCGATGCTGAAGGCAGGCCAGTTGCCTTCTTGGCTGGCGACCGCTTGGGAGAAAACCTTGGAAATGGGCCCTGGGAAACAGGACCGACAGCGTATGTTGGTCAACGCCGCGTTCGACCACAAGAACGGCCGCCTCGTCCTGAATGTCGATAAGCCGATCTTCCGAGATGTCCAGAAGACGTACGAGAAAACGGAGGCGTCTGATAAGAGCAAGAGTTTGACCAAATTGCTCTTCAAGAAAAAATGGCATCTGACCGAAGAGGAGTTTGCCCAGGGCTTGGCTGACAAGGAGTTCTATGAAGTCACGGATGCCGCGGGGAAGGTTAAGTACGGGTGGGATGTCTCCGAGCATTCGACGACAAGGGGCAAGGAGGGCAGTTCGGCGGTGGAGGCGAGCCATGAGGGCAACCGGCAGGATGCCAAGTTCTTCATGCAGTTGGCAGGGGACTGGAAAATCGGCCTTTTTTCTAAAAGCTCGTCTTCGAAGTCACGCGTGCTCGCCCTGC